CTGTAAGAAAACAATATTTCACATTAAAAAAATTTTACATAAAAAAAAAAACGTCTCTAAAACAGAGTTAATACAAAAAAAAAAAAAAAAAAAAAAATCATAACAGAAATTTTAATATATTTTTTAAGTTTATTACAATTTTCAATTACAAAATTTGCTTCAAGTTAAAGAAATTTTATTTAGCCGAGGTCAGTTCTACCTATTAGAAACTGAACACTTAAACTTTGAAAAACCGTATTTTACAATTCCATTTGTATTATTTGTATACCCAGTGCGCACAGGACGTAAAAAAGACGTCCTTAGGACGTTTAAATCGCGTCCGTCCGTCCCATAAAATTTTAAACGTCACTTGAACGTCTTTTTTGCGTCCAATAATTTTTTCGTCCAAAAAATATCCAGAATGCTTTATTAAATTAAAAAAAATCAGTTAAATCACGCAAGCGCTAAAACTTCTTAAAATTTTTAAGTAACGCATTTTTGATAAAGTTTTTTTTCAATTACAAAAGAAGTCTTTTGTAGGAGTGTAGGAGAGTGCTGCTACATCGATTAATCTATACCTGTCTTAACCCAAACCCTCAGTCTATGTAGCAGCATTCCCTTGCATGTTATCCCTAAATTAGTCAATGTAGAAGCATTATCCTACATTTCTCCCCAATTCATTAATATATCTGGTCTTCGTTTTTTAAAAAATCAAAACCTCATTTTGAGTCATAGTATCTTTCGCTCACCGTCTTTTTACAACGACTAATAGACAAGTTCCATCTAATTTTTGGTTTTTGTTATCAATTACATTGAAAATTGTGGTAACATTGACGGTTTAAAACTGAATAGCATATATTCAGTTTACTATGTATATATTTACTTGATATACTATTAGTATAGTATTGCTATATCAAGAACCAAGTTCTAACAATTTCAAAGATTTAGACATCTCATGCAGAATCGAATTTTTCAATAGGAAAACCTGTTAATGATACATGGAACAATTATCCTGATAATTCTTTGAATTCAATGTCTTTACTCGACAACATTGAGCTATTCAATAATGGAACCAGTACATTAGTTAAGGATCTTCTTGAAATATTGCCAAATCAAGTTTTGGAACTTGCCAAAGATTCAAGGAGAATTTTAAAAACACCTTATGAAAAGCGACTTATAGACAGGTTCTTACTAATTTATATATATATATATATATATATATATATATATATATATATATATATATATATATATATATATATATATATATATATATATATATATATATATATATATATATATATATATATATATATATATATATATATATATATATATATATATATATATATATATGTATATATATATTTAAACATTTAATTACTTGAGAATGATATTAATATTGATACATATATTGAAATTAATACAGATATTGACATATAGTTAAAAACTAGGTATATGATATATATATATATATATATATATATATATATATATATATATATATATATATATATATATATATATATATATATATATTAAGTATATACTTGACACTTGATATAGTATTTCAAGTATAATAATTGATATACTATATCAAGAACCAAGTTCTGACTGTTTGAAAGACTTAGACATTGCAGAATCTTATGCATAGTCATATTTTTTAAAAAGAAAACCTATTAATAATACAGAGAGTTTATGCTAATAGTTCAATATAATTCAATATAATTCAATATCTTTAATTAACAATTTTTAGATTGTTCTATTCAAAATAATTGGACCAGTACATTAGTTAATGAACTTTTTGAAATATTACAATATCAAGTTTTTGGAACTACGCTAACAACCAATTACTTAACTTTAGTAATTAGTTATTAGTGAAGTTCAAAAGTTTTGACTAAAAAATAAGCCTAATTGAAAAAATTAAACCAGTCGTAACAGTTATATAAGAGACAGGAGGGTAGAAAATTTCCTTTGCTCTAAAGGAAATTTTCTACCTACCTGTCTTTTGTATAACTGTATTACTTGTTTAATTTTTTTAATTAGACATTTTTTAGTGACTTATCCTACTCTTTTATTATCTGATTATTTTAGTAACTTATCCAACTTAAATAAGAATAAGAAAAATATATTTAAAGATGGAATTGATTTAGTATTTTTTTGAAATGATTTTTTATAATGATATTTTGAAAATTTATAGTTTTAGTTTTAGTATTTAGTAAAAAAATATATAACACAGCAAAAACATTTAAATCAGAATTTCATTGGAGCTATATATCGGCATTTTAGGTCATTGCAGTTTTGGTCATTGTTTACTTAATAGCCTATTAGTGGCAGCAGCCAAAAGTGCCTAACCATATGAATAACCACTATATCACGTGTTGGAATGTTATTGGCAATTTACTAAGTAACCGATGGGAAATACTCCTTAATTTCTCCTCTTTTTTTTTTTTTATCATCTAGGAAATTTTATTAAAGTGAATGGATTATACTTATTAATAAAGAAATTATATAGTCCTTTGATTGATTGCAAACCTATAATTCTATTGTGTATATATATATATATATATATATATATATATATATATATATATATATATATATATATATATATATATATATATATATATATATATATATATATATATATATATATATACACACACACAACCCTTGGGAATTAAGAATAAAAAGGTTGGCAATTATTTGTCGACATCAATCAAAAAAGCAAAAAAAAGTGATTCAAAAGTCTTACCATTAAATATAGAAACAAGATCAGCATTATTTGTCGACCTCAAACACTTTTAGGTTGGCATTGCTGCATGCCGACCCTAATTCCAAGGGTTGTATATATATAAATATATATATATATATATATATATATATATATATATATATATATATATATATATATATATATATATATATATATATATATATATATATATATATATGTATATATATAATATAAGTATATAATATAATATATATATATATTTATATATATAAGTAATATGTTAATTTATAATAATTCTTCTGTTTTTATTAAAAATTCATTGAAAAAAATAAGATTCTGTTTTCAATGTAGTTATTTTCTCCTTAATTCTGCTAACTTTTCTTTCAAAAAGTTGACTTTCGTGACCAAATCTCTTTAAATAATAGAAAAATATCTCCCTAAAATCCTTACATATAGCGTCAGTTTTAATAGTAAAAATAAAAAATATATGTCAATAAATAAAATAAAAATGAGTTTTGCTAAAATTTAAAATTATTAGAATAAGTTAAAATTTAGAATTATTAGTTTTTATTAGTTAAAATTAGTAGGTTTTGTAGTATTAGTTAAAGTTTAAAAATAGATAGTGTGAAACATCAATTAGATACAATTTAAACAGAAAAATTAAAAAAAAAAAAAAAAAAATAATGCTAATGCTAAAAAAATAACACTTGTAAGAATATTTTTTACTTTTCCATAAATTTTAATAACTTGTTAATTAAGATTTTATTTGTAGGAGTGTCAACTACATCAAGTGTCAGTTGATATATATGTTTTGGTCAAATACATGTTTGTATTTGGTAATATTATGTTACATTTTTGTTTTGTATTTTAAAAACTCATATTGCATTTATTTAAATATGCATTTAGGAATCTAGAATTGATGTATTTGTATTTTTTGTATCTAATTTTGTTTTAAATTAAAGAAATTTTATTTGATTAAATGTATTTAACTCTAAGGTTCATTTTTATTTTTGCTTTCGGTTTTAAAAAAATAGAACAACGGTTTTGGCTATAGTTCATTTATGTAATGGTTAATGTAATATAATTTATTTTATGTAATATGCCAAATGAATTTTTATTAGTAACAACTTCTTTAATTCATTCAGCTTCTCCAAAATTTGAAAATCTGTGATTCAAAATTTTGCTTTTCCCAAAACAATACATAATTTACACAAAATTTTTGAATTGAATAAAACACTAATGAATTGTTCCTATGCCCAATATAACTTACACTAAATTGGCCCATATCAATTACACTAGTGTTATCTTTTGAATTTAGAAATAGAAGTTATTAAATGTTGGTGGCTCATCATGCAGTGCATTTGAGAAGGGCATGCTTTCAAAGTAAGTATATTTTTACTATAAAAAGAGCATTTTTAATACCGCAATTATATTGCATACTTGATATACATAAATATTTACGCTGGTCACAACGAGAATAATTTTTAGTTGATTTTCAAGGAGACGCTAGCTTTTTAAAGCAGTACCCATTATGATATTTGTAGAAAGAAGAAAAAAAAAAAACATTACGACGATGTGAGAATGCTTGGAGATTGGCTGCTAGAGCTGGTTCTGTAAATAAAGTAGTAAAAGTTCAAGAACATTCTACGGCAATTACGTGGTTTCATTTACTAATAGTTTTTAGTTATTTTAATTGTAGATATGTATTAAGCGGTTTTTGTAATGAGGGACTGCTTATTTGGTATACGATGGTTTAAACGCTGAAAATAAGCAAGACGAAGAAGAAGTTGAGCGTGTGTTGTTAGCAGCATTCTCTTTAGATGCTTATACGACATACGAACTTTTTGTTAAACGAAAATTAAATGTTGGAGAGAAAGTTGATGTGTTTTTAGCCGACTTAAAACAATTGGCTTATCTTGCTAAATTGTCAGAAGAGTCTATTCGATTAGCGTATGTTGTTGGGTTGCCCAAAGATTTATCATCAAGATTTCGAGCTGTTATGGATCCAATCGATGTCATGTTACCCAAAGAAAGAGTTGCTTTGAATCGTGTATGCGCAGATAATGCTGTTGGCTCTGTTTTTCGAAATCAAGCCACAAAAGTTTCGTTAATGTGTTACAACAGCAAAAGGTTAAATCATATCGCGAGAAACTGTCCCTTTGTAAAGAATCTGGCTCTGAAATTTTTTTTTGATGTTATAAATGTGGGAATGAAGGACACTTGGCTGCAAAGTGCTTAATGAAGCAGGAAAACGAGCTGAACAATGGGAGAATTAGCGCACTAT